CCGGAACGGTCGCGTCGGTTCCCGTGCGTTGGCCAAACGCTATGAACAGCATGACTGCCCGCATGCGCCAGAAATCTTTTTGGGGTTAAAGTTTTGTTTGTTGCCCGGTCAGCTCCTGTCGAATCGAAGTACTAAGACCTAACATTCGACTCTTCTCTAAACTGGAAACCGATCCGCAACAAATTTTGAGGAAACGCGGACATTGGTTCTTTAAAGATTGATTAATTTGGCTACCTTAAATATCTAATGTGATGTTTAGCAATCGTGCGAGAAGACAAACAGGTTTTATGTGTTCATGATGCAGTAGAGCACCAAACGTTTGAGAAGATAAACATATTATGCATTCATATTCGTACCGATACATCTGTGGATATTTCCATTACATCTCATCTTGTAGTGCTCCAATTTGATTCGGTATCTGTTGTTTTTTCTTTGACTGTAAATGAGTTGGGAATAAAAATCCTGAACATTAGAAGTTAAGTAATGGCATCCTTTCATTGAGAGCACATCAAACAAAGGTAAAAAACTTAATAACACTTTTCAATTTTTTAGGGAAAAGTGACGGAGCTATGTAAATTACGTTGCCATATTCGTGTGTTGGGTTGTGTTTTACATCAGAGCCGACGACTGCTATATTGCCGAGACGCACGTATAAAAAAACACTATCAGTCGTAGTCTCATAGACTTAACGTTGGCTTTGCTTTTGGAAACCTAGTTTTATGTGATGGCTCGCTGAATTTTGGAGCTAATGCAAAACTTTGACCATGGCTGTAACGGTCGGTGCAAGTTGTTTATTCCCTATGAGCTATCTGTGGATGCTGAAAGTGCATTGGTACACGCATCTGGTGAACTCCGGTGCTTCTGGGGAAACCGGAGGTACGGGGTTCAAGTCCCTGCGGTGCCCGCCCTTCCTGCCAGGGTAAGAGGCATGTGACGCCATACAGCCTCAGCAGCTAAGTGAGTCGTAAAGCAACAGTGACGACGACAACGACCTGTAACCTATCTTAATGTACATACAAGTGTGATGGTTTTATTTCCAGTTGAAGTCATGGCTGTACCATTTTTTGATATACTTCTACACAACTAACTTTACTACCCAACTTTTATCAACGGCCAACTCTGTCAACCTCTGGATCAATACGTTGAGAAAGGAACGGCAATTGGCAAACAGTGCTGAGCAGCGTGTCTAAATATGTGTTGAGTGCGTGCCGACGAGTGGCATGGAAAGCAAATTTTAAAGTTGCTTGCCTTTTTTGGTAAAGTTCCTTACCATGCTGCTTGTTAATTAACTCAATTTTGAAACGAGATAACCACTTGCGGTTCATCGTACCTAATAGGTGCGAGCAATCTCTACGTTATGTAAGGAACACAACAAAAAGTTAAATCGGATCACATAGCAATGTCAAACTAAAGGTAAGGAGATGATCCTGTCAGATTTCATTGGCCTGAAATACGCGACTAAAAATATCATATGTCGGAGTCCCATAGACTTATTTAGATGTCAAACACTCCAAATGAAATATTTGAAATACGTGTTTCTGTAATCAACTGGTTGGTTTAAAAAACATTTAAAGCTTCCAAGAGTAGAGAAAAGAGAACGTAAAAAGGAAGTTCCTCTCGTAATGTAGCAATTTTGTCCAATTTTTGCTGCGTTCACCTTCGCGCATGAATGTCTAAAGTTGGCCTGTTTATCGTACCCTGCTAATTCGACCCAACCTAGATTGAAACGTCGACGTGCCAATTAATTTTCACAACCGACTTATTGCAGCCCGTCAAAATTTGTGGCAAATAATTTACGGCAAGTGGAAATCAACGCATTTTTAAAGCTGCATGGTACATTGTGATATCAAATGATAAGGTATAGTAGCCTCAGCAGCTAAGTGAGTCGTAAAGCAATAGTGGCGATGAGAACGACCTGTAACCTATCTTAATGCACATACAAGTGTGATGGCTTTGTTTCCAGTCATCGAACCTGGTAGGCGCGAGCAATATCTTCGTTATGTAAGAAACACAACAAAAAGTTAAATCGGATCACATAGTGGTGTCGAGCTGAAGGTAAGGAGGTGGTCCTGTCAGATTTCATTTTTCTGAAATATGCGACTAAAAAATGTCATACGTCGGATCCCATAGACTTATTTAATTGTTAAACACTTCAGGTGGAGTATTTGGAATACGTGTTTCTGTAATCAACTGGTTGGCTCTAAAAACATTGAAAGCTTCCAAGAGTATAGAAAAGAAAACAAAAAAGGAATTTATTCTCGTAATGCAACAAGTTTGTCCAATTTTTGCTACGGTCATTTTCGCGCATGAATGTCTAAAATTGGCCCGTTTGTGGTACCCTGCAATTAATTTTCACAACCGACTTCCTGCAGCCTGTCAAAATTTGTGGCAAATAATTTAAGGCAAGTGGAAACCAACGCATTTTTAAAACTGCATGGTCCATTTTGATATCAAATGATAAGGTATTATTAAGCTCTAAGCTGACTCGGCTCCCTTACAAGGTGGAATGAGGCCAATGGTTTCGATCAAAGAAGAATACAAAGCGCTATCTTTTGTATGAAACATGACTAGAAGTGTTAGATGACTCGCTTTTTAGTACTCAAACAACATATAAAACACGTTAAAGATGCCTCCAAGAGCTCTGACTAATGCCAGAACACGAAATTCATCTCAACAAATAATATGAGTGTATTTTCGTGCTTTACGTCTTGCCACACAATGTCATGTCCGTGACATGGTGAGCAAATTTCCAGAAATATAACTCTGATCGTCTAATTCGATCTCCAGCCAACATTGGGATAATATCTGTTGCTTGACCAATAGGCCGATGTCCAACTCACTTTCAGAGATAGATTGCGGAAGAAATGGCATAGCATTCCACACTGAACGCGCATGTGTGACCGGGATCGTAAAATATTTTGTTGTAGAATAACCGCTAGCAATAACCATATTGTACGTGAATGTTATGTTTTGTGGGGATTGTGGTGTCTGATTTTGGGAACTAACACAAAGGTGGTGATTTTATCTCTGTCGGCGGTGAATTTATTATCGCTCGGAAAGTCGATGCCCTAGATTCATCCTCAATTCCAAATGCCCCTTCATGTTACTTCCGGTTAAGCTATGGTCATGAAATTAACCAACGCGCCAGTTCGATCCATTATGATTACAAAGTTTAGGGAACGGAAATCAGCAAGACGATTTGATGTCTTATCTCCGTTTCATGCGTGTATAGGTCACTGTTGGAACGTAGTGATGAACCTTAATTTAAGTTAGTGCGGGAAGAATGCTGGTCAACGGATCTTCCCGTGGTAAAATATAGATAACGCGAGACGTCAAAAGGAGTCTGGAAATTTTAAACTTTTGTGTAGCGCTATTGGAAAACGTTTCCTTCGTGTTTTACACACGTATCAAAGCCTGGAGGCTTATAGGCGGCGCTCCGATATGCACATTATTGGTTGCAATGTACTCGGCCCAGTGCAACGAGAGCGGCGTTTCATGTTGTCATAACACTGGAGGCGGGTGACCGATCCTCGATACTTATAAGCGCCATGCACTGTGACCTAATTTCGCGAAGCTGGGACACCGCAGCGTAATAACGTTGGCTTGTTTTGAACGGGAGGAATCTTATTAGGTCCACATACGGGCGCAGACAGGGAGGGGCGGAAGCAAACATAATGGGTACGTGGCCCCTTCGGTCCCTCGGGATCCAGATGTTCACTCGGGATTGACAATCAACGGCCCAATTACAGGGCTCGAAGGGCCAAAGGGCTGGCCGGAGATCTTCAGTCCGAAGGACCGGAGCGCTCTGATATCAATCAAAGGGTCTCTGGCGGTGAAAGGGGCCCATCTAAGAAAAGATCTTCACTCCGGTCGAAACCACCAACAAGGAACCCTTTGTCGGACAAAGACCCATTTTCCAAGCATGAACGAGGCCTGGGCCCACGAATGCCATTCAGAGGACCTCGCAAGTCGCATTGGTCGGGGTTCTCTTGTCGGACACGATGTCCTCCGATCACAGTGCATACATAAAAGAAAATTTTGTGCCGCTCGAGCCGGCCAGAGGCCCATTTGGTACCCATTGCAACCTACCACAGACCTTCTCCGTTGGTTCGGACTCGGAGAACGACAGAAGACTGATAACAGTGAAAGGGTGCATAATGAGTCGATACGGTTTGACTCCGATTCTCACAGGAGGCCTCAGTAACAACTGAGAGCGTTCTACCCCGCTTCGACCAATGGCTCGTTGAGTGGAACTGGGACCCCTGTGCAAATTATTTGACCCTCTGCGCCCGTACGTGATCTTTTTGCACCAGTGAGATCCACTGCGTCGATCCGGCTGCAGCTGCCCCAGTGCGAAGACAGCCCGCGTCGGGGAGGGGACCGGTATACAATACATTCCGAGGGCCTCGGATTGGATCAATGGGCCCGGATTCCCACGTCGCGAGATGGCAGCTAATGAATACCTTGCGCCGGGATAGAAAGGTTCTTTAGCCACTAACCGGAAAAGGTAATACCCCTCCCCCCTGGTGTGCTACCATCTACTAGTGTACTGCAGTGTGCTATGCACCAGTATATCTACCATCCTAGTGAACCACCCACGTCTTCCTCCGTCCCGCATATCCGAGGGTCCCTTAAGTTTGTAAAATCCCTTGATGTCCTCTAGGAGCGCGAACGCCGGCGGAACCGGATTATAAGATGAAGGAAATTACGTGAACTTTGGTAAACCTTTGTAGACTTTCATCAGGAGCCTTTATTGCGCTGTGTCCTCCCTTTTCAACTTACCCAGTTTCTTCTCTATACCACATTATTCTCCAACGCTTCTCCTGTTCTCCTAGACTCTTCCTAAAAAACATTCATCTTTCTTTATAGCTCTACACGGCCTCAAACTTCGTTGCGCTCTCTAAGATTTCTCCAAAACTCCACATCTGTTTCCATTGTGTACTTTTCGATGTCACCTCCTTTCAGAAACAGCGCAGACACACATCGAAGCACAATGCACCATGCGTCACAGCATTTATTAGTAACTCAAGGGTTCACATAGAATGTCGCATAACCCATGCCTACAGCAAAGTACACTGAAACGACCACACACAAGTTGCATCTCTAAGCTGACTGTACACGGTCCACATTTGTCTGAACAGGAAACATGCCAACAAACTTGGCCTGGCGGAGGAGATCGCTATGCCATGCTAAAGCTCCCAGCATCGCACCTGAGACAAATAGGCGGTTGCATAGCACATCTGATGCTCTGAGACGGTTTTTGACGCACAGCATCGGGGACAGTGCCGTCACAATGACTTGGCTTGGCATCAACGCTGGATACCCAGTGGTGTGCCCGAGTTTAAGATCAGTTAGCTTTTCGAAGGGGGCGGCACCTGCTACATCTCGTCCCGCTGTGCGTGTGGCTGCCCGAACAAGACTTTGGAATTTGCAGACCGTAAGAATTATAAGATTTGTTAAGAAGTGATATGGCAGTGTTTAGGCAGCCCTTAACCGTGACACCACGAAGGTAGCGATGACGCGTCGAGACGGTGAAATTACGTCGGAGCTGGTGACATGGCGCTGTTACTGACGACACCACGCCGGATCTGTAGGCACGATGATAGAGCCGGCCATGACGGAGCCCGTGGACGGAGGAGCCCGTGCACCTGAAAAACATTTAAATGCATATGAAATTCTAAGAGTGAAAACAGGGAGCCCTAACAGAGCGGCACGCTCGGCAGACAAAGTCATGGTAAACTTGAGTTCATTTTTAGTTGAACCTGGGAAATTCCTTCCACTGTCTACACCACAAATCATTTCACACCACCAAACGATTTCTAAACGGATGGCTTAGCCTGTCAAGGACATACGTTGGAAAATATTTTGATAACCCACATTTTTTTCACTTTGCGATCCCTGACAATATTGGGGTAAAAAAATATTGCAGTGTAAAAATGCACTGTCGTGACAAACACAAGATTCTCGACCATGGTCTGTCTCGTCCTCCAGCAAGGCCGTTCACACCACACGAAGCTCCCCAAGGTAATTTTAGGTTACCATTAGACGTCACATGAGGCGAAATTCGTGTTGAGATAAAGCACCTTGGTACACCCGTTTGATATGAAAAGGGCGAGAATAGAAGTAATAAATACCTCCAACATACTCATCCAAATCCATGACAGGTGACCGGAGAAGTGGAACAATGACAGATGAACTGACCTAACCTAACATGATCTTAGCCTGAACTGCTTTGACCTTAACCTGAACTGACATAACTCTTCAAAATTCAGTGCTGAAAAAGTATAAACAAAAAATTACAAAATTTTGTTTCTAATTTTATGGTATGATCCTAACGGAAAAGGATACGTTCGTTCGTTTCATCTAGTTACGCAGGTCTACGGTCAATATTGGTGGTACACTTGCTCTGATATTGGTTTGAAAATACTGGTTTAAGTTGATCTGAGATCACTGAAGATTTCAATGATTTCTACGGCGATATGCACTGTCTGTAACATCGTCAAACATGTCATATATGTCACATCAATGCCTGGGTGCATTTGCACGGGATGACCACTGCTTGAGTTTTTTAATTAGACGATTTGATTCTTAGATATCATAAACACAACGTACTGTTGGCTCCGGAACGTTGGGGGCTCCGTATTCCGGACATCAATTTCGAACGAACCACCTGGTATGACTGCACTTTTTCGCAGTGTGCGTTTCAGACCATGTGACATTTTTTCTTAGTTAAAACGCAAATTAATGGAACGTTCCTTCCACTCATCATGCTAGCAACAACACTGAAAAGCCGATTGTAGGTAAAGGCCACGGTGATGCATGCTCTGACGTCAGATACATAGCAAGGACGTTCTCCTGGCGCAAAAGCTAAACACCAGAAGCGACGGGGCAGGATGGGACAAACGAAACAGCAGAGCACACGGCAGTGCATGACAGATGGCACTGTAGGACAGAAGACTTGGGCGGGGGGGGGGACGGCAAAAATCCAAGGATTCAGTACAGAGGGCCGAAAGCGGAGGACAGAGGACAAGACGGCCAGAATGAACAACAGAAAATAGATAAACACAAAATCCGCCCGCCCTGGCCAGCGCACACAGATGTTCTGCTCAAGACAAAACAGGATATGGCAAGACAAGACAGACAAGACAAGACAAGACAGGACAGGACAGACCCGACCATGACAGGCTCGGCCATATGGGAGTTTTTCACCTTCGCCCAATGATGGCGTCTTGGGGCCTCCCCGAAATATGTTGGAAACTAGCGGGCTATGGTCACGGCAGACAAGGTATCGGAAAGCTCTAGTCAAGCTGCATTAAATGGGTGTGACTGAATATGAGTGAACGTAATATTGGACAGATCAATCAGGTCATATGCATCTAGTTAGAACGCCTAGCTGTCTCCTCTTATATAAAGAACTGAAATTGCTAAGACAATGGAGAGGATGGCGTCATATGGGTCCGGAAAGCTTTGCCAGAGGAGTAAAAATAGTGAACATCACCAGGTGTGACCTGATGTCGTTTTTCACTTGGCTTTTACAACGCACTCAGATGCTGAGGCTATGTGGCGTCGCCTGCCTCCCATCCTGGCAGGAAGAGTGGGCACCGCGAAGAATCCAACCCCGTACCTCTAGTTTCCTAGACGCGCAGTCCTGCAGTATCGGTACCCTGCGATATGGCAGCCGGCGGCGGCCTTCAAGGCGGGGAAGGCTGTTGTTGCATTGACCCACCCAGCGATATCAGGGAACTTTCATGTCTTCAACACCATTAAATGGCACATAGGAACAACTTGAAAAAGCAGATCTGTTCACAAAATCATAGTTCGACCTGGCTTGACTCTGGGTGAACACACGTGACAAAAGAAACCAGGACGATATCAATGCACAACAGTGGCATTAATATGCGATTCAAGGGTCAAAGATCACCGCCATTGTCACTAGCTCGACATCCGCACCAGAACATAAACACTGCCATCTGGTTCGTTGGCTATTCATCTCCCCAAAAAGTACCGTTTACATGGGTGGCCGAAGGTGCTACCAATTTGAACTGGAGGGATAATCTGACCAAGGACCTCTCATCTGCGTTAACATACGCAAAACCTCCCCTACGTCTGTTTGAACGCCGGTGGTCCAAACTTGAAGATTTCAAATCGAAGTGCAATTGTGTGGATGGAGTGCGTTTTTGAGACAGATGGTCGCAGTGGTGCAGCTACTGTGCAGATGATAGCTGGAGATCGTCAGGGTTTGTGCAAAGATCGTGGCCGGATGCTTATGTGAAAAGATGGACCTCGCCAGATTATCCACCGAGCGGCATCGAATGGTAAATATTTCTGTTAGTAGATGTTTTGTGCCTATCAGTCTCACAAGCTCAGAGCATGCAGTTGCCTGCAAACTTTGATTTTGGTTTTGGGCATTTTTTCCAGCCTCTGCTCTGACACAAGGTCACCATCTTCTGGAAAGGATAGACCATCAGTAAAACTTATATGCAAACAACCTTTTTGTAAGTTGGGGCACTTATGGTGACCTCTGACCTGACACAAGGACATTGCCTTCTGAGCAGAACGGCTATCGACCATGGCGCATCGAGTGGTACAGGCTTCGTGCCGATCGGTCGCGTACGCTCGTAACATGGGGGCGCGTCTACAGACAATATTGGAGATATCGGACGTTTTTTGATGACGTTTGACCGGACCAACTGTCACCATGATTAGAAAAGGCGAGGATTCCAACAATGGCGCATCAATCAAAGAAAGTTTTGTACTGATATGTTCCACACGCTTGGAGACACACACGCAGGGATGTTTTCCAGTCAATTTTCCACTATTCGGAATTTTTGGTGGCCTTTGACCTGTGCCAGGGTCACCATGTCCTGAAATGGACAACCTGTCAACCAAGCGTCATCATATTGTGAAGGTTTCATATTGACCAGTGCCATAGGTTTGGAGGATGGGACTGAAAACAGGTTTTGGTGGCCGCTTCCTCTCTCCCGTTCTTGGAGACTTACGCAAACAAATTTGTTGCACTGACTGCAAAAAAGAACAAGTAATGTACACACACACACACACATATATATATATATATATATATATATATATATATATATATATATATATATCCCTCTATCCTATCTATCCTCATCTGTCTGCTTGACTGATCTGAATCTGATTCAACTCGTGACTCAGTTGTTTCATTTTTGATTTGACCAAGTTCAGACTATATTTATATTGAGGTACTCGACTGATGACTCATGCAGATTGCAAAATCAAATATCAAGTATCTGGCTCATTCATTTATGTACACGTAAGTGCTATCTATATATGCATTTATATATATATATATATATATATATATATATATATATATATATATATATGTGTGTGTGTGTGTGTGTGTGTGTGTGTGTGTGTGTGTTTGATTTAAAATAACTGCTGACTCAGCATTGACGAGCTTTTTGATGCATCGTTCTGGTTTCCGGGCCTTTGACTAGAACGATGCATCAAAAAGCTTGTCAATGCTGAGCTAGCAGTTATTTTTGATCAAACATGCATCAAAGAAAGAATTCTGCCAAAATATTCCAATATATATATATATGTATATATATATATATATATATATATATATCTGTATATTCTTTGGTTTACAACTGATATTTGACAAACTTCAGGATGAACAACATGGGCTCTTCTGTTTAGAAACGGTGATGATAATTATGTGCTGATGATGCAAAACACTTCATAACTCATGCTGCACTGTGTTAATTATGACACTGAAATTACATGTGATTTTGCCTAGGGTGCACCATATTTCCCTGTGCTGCCAATTTGACCTCAGCCATATGACTCACTGATACAACTTTGTGGGTAATAATTAGCTCATGATGCAGCTCATGAAATGTTTGACGAATGTGATTCAAGTGTGACCCAAACAAACATCTTTCAGTGAGCAGATGAAGCCTGTAACTCAACCCAATATGATTGACTCAAGCAGATTCACATTTCAGCCTAAGGTGAACACAGGTCTGGGTAGTATGTTGATATCTGTGCAAAATCCTGCATTTTAGGAGATGGTTGCCTGGTTATGGTGTTCACATCAGGCAAACTGGCATTACTTTGCCATGTTCATTGTGTTGCTGACAAAGGTTTGGTATAGCGTGTTTGACACTCCCACAATATTTGAGATCTTTTTTAGAATGTGCATATTAGTGGTATATATATGCATATATATATATATATATATATATATATATATATATCCCTCTCTAGAACCAATCTATCTGCCTAATTCTGCCTGCCTGCCTCTACCTGACTGACTGCCCGGCTCTTGTTTTCTGTCTCTGCCTGAATCCTCCCGTCTGACCGCATAACAGCCTGGCCATGCTTGACTCTGCCCGTCTGCCTGACTCTAACTCACTGTTTGATCCTGACCGACTGCTTGACTCTTCCTGCCTGCCTGGCTGACTCTGCCTGATTGCCTGGCCCTGCGTGACTGCCTGACTCTGCCTCCCCGAGTGCCTGACTACATGGCCCTGCATGCGTGAGTGCCCGGGTACCTGGCCCTGCCTGCCTGAGTAGGAATGGATGTAGTATATTGCCTATATATATATATATATATATATATATATATATATATATATATAGCTAATCTCTCTCCCTCTCTCTCTCTCTCTCTCCTCCTCTCTCTCTCTCCTCTCTCTCTCTCTCTCTCTCTCTCTCTCTCCGTGTGTGTGTGTGTGTGTGTGTGTGTGTGTGTGTGTGTGTGTGTGTGTGTGTGTGTGTGTGTGTGTGTGTGTGTGTTGTGTGTGTGTGTGTGTGTGTGTGTGTGTGTGTGTGTGTGTGTGTGTGTGTGTGTGTGTGTGTGTGTGTGTGTGTGTGTGTGTGTGTGTGTGTGTGTGTGGTGTGTGTGTGTGTGTGTGTGTGTGTGTGTGTGTGTGTGTGTGTGTGTGTGTGTGTGTGTGTGTGTGTGTGTTGTGTGTGTGTGTGTGTGTGTGTGTGTGTGTGTGTGGTGTGTGTGTGCTCTTGTGTGCCGTGAAAAACAGAGGACCAAATCCGGTTACACACCCAACAACCCGTCACTGCCGAGGTCCGGTATTCACTACCGAGGTCCAAATGCCGGACCTCGGTTTTCAGAGGCCTTAAATGAGATATTTAGTCTTGTTTGAACATGTTTATCCGATTTTCAGCTGGTCCTCGAAAAACGTAATTACACGCATTTTTACTTCCGGTTGTGTAAAGTGTGTTATCTTGGACGAACTGCGCGCGTGTGTAAGTTTTTCAGGTGGCACGGTCACGTGGAAGAGAATAGAGATGAATAAGGAAATGCGAAATCGCGCTGCTCCATGATATGGTCTCATCACTTGTAAGTTGTTTGCGCTTGGTATAAGCATTTAAATCACATTGAATCACGTTGAAACTGGTGATGAAAGATATTAATGTAAATTGTGTTAAGTCGCATGAGATACATATCTCTATCGCCGCCATTGCGCGTTCTTGGAACGAGCGCGACGGTGACATTGCGGTGTGCGGCCTCTCGGACGAGAAGACTGGGCTTACGTTGGATGCAAGTTATTGTCGGTTTTAGGTTTTATCGTTTTTTTTTTTTATTTAGGTCGGCAAGGTTTTAAAAAGTGAGTAGTAAATATTCGAAAGGGATTGGTGAACCCTGTTTACCGACAACTGTAGCTAATGGAGGACTGATCTGCCTTGGTTGATTAGAGAATGGTGTGCTGATAAGGATAGTTGCTGAAGTGGCAAACATTGTGTTAGCTTTTGAAGGTGGTTGAAGAGATTGACTTCAGCAATATTATGCAATTGTCTGGGTAGGTTTATCACGCTAGACCAGACGTTTGTCAGGGGGATGCTTGCAGTTTTTCTCATGCATTTGCAGTGGGTGTTGTATTACATTAAAAAAATGTTGCCGTTAGGTACTTACAGACATGTTCCCCAACCCCCTAGAACAACACGTTTTCAGAGGCTTTGGGCATCAATTTAGCCTTGAAGGGGAAATCATTACAAACATAGGGTTTTCCATACATCGGAACCTTAGTGTGTGGTAGATACCAGAGCATAAAAGGGTGTGTGCCACATTTGTATGGGTTTCAATTGAAATTAGCCATCTTGAAGATCATTCAGTATGTTACACAGTCCTGCCATTCTTAAGCACCCTTCTAATTTTGTAAACCTTTCTAGTTTCTGATCTACACACCTGCAAAGGTGCGAATATTACTTCGTGGTGACTATTTCAAGGTCACCCAGGCACCCACAACGCGTAATGTCTTCAAATGCTGCCATTTCAATGGCCATGGGGCGATTAAGGCAAGCCATCATATGACCGTTGCGTCGTTCATATCCGGCTTTGTGAATACATTTTCAGACGTAACGACCGTCGGTTGGCTCAAATCAATGTTGTGCAAGATTACGTAAGTTGTTCAGTGCATTAGCATTAGCAGAGGAGCATTTTTCACATAGCTAAGACAATATTAATAGCCTTATTCGTCGAAGAAAACCGGGAGAATAAAGATATAGTTGAATTGATATTTCGGCAACATGCCTATATCGAAAAAGGAGCAGAAATAAATTCAAAATTGCCTGCTGGTGGCCCTACTCGATTTTTCAGCTTTTTTGGAAATAGAAAGCCAGTTTTTACAGGACACCAACTCTTAGAGGATTAAACAAAAAGTTATTGCTAGCCGTTACCACGATACGGTGCTTATCTAATAATTAGAATAGGCGACAATACGTGTACATGCAAACTAATTCAAGCAAGTAGGCGTCATGCATTACGCTTCATTCAAACATACAAACGAGTTGAGGTTAACAGGTATCACAGTCGCGCATCAATTATACATGCAAGCGATTTCAACTGAACAGACATCGCACATCACGCGTCAGGCGTCACTTCACATGTTAACTATTTTAAGCTAGCACACATCGCATATAAAGGCACATATCATGTTCGCAAAATCGGCCAGGATGAGCTTTGTATGTTAAAATTTGGTCGCTGATTTTTTGCAAGAATAGATTAAATTTTTCCCTACCTGGGTGGTCCTCTCCTCTGTAGACGACTTTGGGCTCTAAAAGGGGCATAGGGTCCATACCTCCCTCGATTTCAGCCTGAGCGTGTTTTGCCAAAAAATGGTCACCGAAAGGGGTATTCCCTGTTTTGTTTGAGTCTATGTCGGGAAGTCCATACGTCCCTCACGTTTAAGATACAATGAACACCTCCGGGGCGCTAAAAAAAAACTTACTTAGTCCTTAGTTAATCTCCACCCACTGAATAATTTTTAGCATTGTTGCTGTTTCAGGTGATGTTATAGCTACTGGACATTGAAGCGATTGAAGACCAGAAAGCCTTAGTGCGACCGGCTTGATTCAGGTCAATTGATGTCAGGAAAGTCAAATTATTTAGGAAATGACTACTCTGAAGAGGGTGTGAATCATTTGTGACATGTAGAATTTGTTGTCATCAGCTCTAACCTAGCATTTCATGCATGCTTTTCTTTCTCTATCTACCCCATCACATTGTCCAACACTGCCAACACCACTGCATCGTCCGACCCCCACAAATATGCCACTACACTGCCTGGCTCCACCATCCCTATCAGTGCCTTAACCAGTAGGATGTCATTACAGTGCATGACACCATGCACCCCACCACAATGTCTGGGTCTACCCATCCCACCATGGTGTCTGACCCCTCCAGCTCCATGCGAGTGTCGGCTCCATGCAGCTGACCCCATTGCCCTGCCAGTTTCACCAGTGTCTGATCCTGCCAACACCACCAATGTCTGCCTCCCCCCCCCCCCCTACCATTGTGTGACCATAACAGCTCCTGCATGGTGCGTGACCTCAGTGTAACGCCATTTTGGTATCTCATTCCACCATCCTCATCGCTGGTCTACGCAAGCACGTGTCAACTGTACCAGCCCCACTTTATTCTGCAACCAACGCCACCACCACCTGCACCAACACCACTAACATATCGCGGCCTGCAATTATGTAGGTACACCCGCATCCGCGTTATTGAATGGTCTTGTCAACATTTAGTGCTCCTTCTCTGTGGCACCACCGGTGCATGGCGTCATTCTTTAATGAAACATGCAAAAACATTTTTGTTCTCAGGTGGCCTATATGTATACCATTGGGAGAGTTAAAGAAGTTTAGTCCTCTAAAAGAAGTCCTCCGGAAAGTTTACTGCAACAAAGGTAACTCGGGCTATATTTGGGATGCTTAAGGACTTACGCGCAACAGCATTTTCATATGCTATTTGCAATATGGAGCATGATATTCTTCGGGAAGGACGGATTTTGGGGCGTTCGGGTCAAGAGTTCGAGCTCATGGGTCCTCGAGAATATTTACCGCGGGCACGGCTACCCGAAGAACAATGAGAAACATTGGCGATGGTGGAAATAGGCCTCGTAAGCAGTTTCCCTGCCAAATTCGAACAGGTGGGGTGCAGAAGTTGCTTTAAAAAGGTTTTAGTCACTGGCAGTCTCGGTTTTTTTATTGTATGTGAAATGTGTATGGCTTAGGATGCTTGCTGCAACATAGTTTCTTTAATTATTTCCCATGAATGGGACGATTGAACCAAGCCTTGGATCATTACTATATGTTGTTTTACGCATTTTACGACGGGATCAATGATATATATATATATATATATATATATATATATATAATATACATCACCAACGCCGGTTTGTTTGCGCGGGAATCACCGACGCTTTCATGAGCGTGGGGTCCGGCCGCTCACTGAACATAGCTTGTGGTAGCGGGTTTGGCTGCCACATCCGGCTCCGGGCCATAACGGTGTTGCCAAAAATCCATCGAGGGGACACTAAGCATGGTTCTGGTCTGCGCACTCCGGGTAGATCAAAATGCCTGCGAAGAGACCTCGTCTGCGGGGGCTAGACAGACGAGTGTCTCGCAATGGCGTGGAGAAGCCCATCCGCAGCAAGGAGGGGTGTCGGTCTTCCAGCGTGTCACGTTCTCAAAAACAGTTGCGGCGTTGGTGTGCATTGGGGCTGCCTCCCATCTGTTTCGCGGCCAGTATCACGGTGTGACGTCGGATAGTTTCAAATGCGATGGTCAGGTCAGCGGTTTGGTTGTCTGGTCTTTTTGTAATTTTTGTTGATGCATTCACATATAGCGTGCAATCACACTCACAATACGCACTCGATCCAAAATCATCTATCAAATATATCATAATGTTTGCATCATGGCGCACACTACCTTCATCCTGCACTACCCGCGATATGGCAGTGGTCAGAAAACTGTCCACTCTTACCAACCAGCCAGTAGACATACACTTGGGCTAGGGGGGCGTACTCGCCCGGGGGCTGGGATGACGGTCTGTGGGCCACCGCCGCCTGTCTGTCGTAGTTTCGTCACTTCTTATTGATGCATTGTTTGAGCTTAGAGGCAATAAGCTTTTTACCACAACTCGTTTCGGTTATGCCTCGCTGTCTTACGACTGTTAACCGTATGGCGTGCATGAACAGCATGGCATTGACAGGGCGTAGTAAGCCTAGAACATCAGGGCATGGACTCGCATCTGCCGCATGCGGTCAGCGATGATATTGGAACTGTTGCTCTTCTCTAAATCGATTCCCATCGCAGCTGTGCGTGCATGGCTACAGGAATGAAGACAGGCACGCCATAGTTTGCCAACGGGCGCGCGTACCATGCATGAGGGCCGTCCGAATCACGGTAGCTGCTGATCGCGTTGAAGATGAATGTTGGCGACTCTGCTGTTGTTGGCCTAATTTCAGGTTAAGTTCGGCTGCGTGGCTAGAGCTTAGTACGATTTATTGTTGTCCCCCTCTCTCCGCCCCCATCGCCGCCCCATCACTTCCTTCTTCTTGACGGCAGTGCATGAGCTCTAACAAGATGGGTAATATGTACGCGGACGGGAGGCCTGTGGCCTCCGATATTTATTCACGGATTTGCTGCGAACTGGAAAGCTATCTTTCGGGACACGACTATTGCACAGCTATTTTAATTCCACCACCCGTGAGCCATCAGCGTGGTGCATGCCCACGCTTCTGAACACAAGCACAACTTTCTTTCACGTGGGGGTCACAATCCTGTTCTGAACTGAAATTTCTCATATCTCACCCGTTTTCGGCTTTCCAGATTACTCCCCGAGAGCGACACTCGTTAAGGATGCGAGTATTTGAAGTTCCGCTTTCAAGCATTGGACGGCCTGCAAATTACCATTGGAGCCAAACTGTATACATTTTCTAGATGATCTTAAATACGGAGCGGTATTCTAAAGATGCAGTTGTGCAGTGTGTAGTTCGTAGATTACGAAACAACGGAGCGAGAATACAGTTGGCGTTCCGTTTTGGGTCAGTTATTTTGTTTTCCTTTTTCCATGTTTTAAAGTCGCTGTGCTTTATGCTCAGGATCGAAGCAAAATGTACAGGAGTAGGCTGCGATGTGATGCGTGTTGTATAAAACCAATAAACCAAAAATGGCATCTCTGTCTGCAAAGGGAAAAATCTGGACGAGGTCGACTACCTCAACAGCGCACCAATGGCAGAAGAGGACGATCCGGAGGACATGGGTGAAGACGATTGTGTGGTGGAGGTCGCAAATGTCCTACCTGGACAAAAAGCCAAGAGGGGAAGGGAGACTTGTTTCCGGAGGAGACATCTTCACATCGAGAGACTAACAATGACGCTCAGGAAAAAAAAAACACCACTGGCAAAAAAGACGTATTGCCTGGTGCAATGCGGAAAAGGCAGCTGTGATGAGGCAGCTTGGCATGTTTGTTAGCCACATGGAGGTTTCTGGCCAAGCTGCATACTTACGTGCCCTGTCAGCAGAAAATGCTCTGTCCTAGCGCTCATGGAGAGATGTTAAATCCATGTCCATAACGTGATTGTTAGAGCACGTCGTAAGGTGAAATGAGTCTCAGTGACTTACACATTAGATGTCGACTTCGTTCACGTTTGGATGATGCTCGCTAGTAAATTTCGCAACGACAAAAACGATCTCCTTGTTGTTGCTCCCGTTTATAGTAGCAATCTGTGTAGGTGGAGCTGATGAACGGTGAAAAAGCAGTGCTCACCAAGGGCAGTATGGCGAGATTTGCAATTCTGGGCGGAAGATGACACCTAAGCACGGAAATAGACCCACCCCATTGGTAAAAATGCGTTATACCTGAATGTCAGTTTGGAAGCAAATTAGGTGTGTCATTCTCCTGTCGCATCTTTCCAATACAGGATTCAATGCAAATGCCTCTTTCTCTACGTCATTTTTGAGATCCGTTGGCAAATCTGACACCACTACACTTAACCAAAGCACACTTGTTACATTGGGAAGTGGTGGGCCACAGGGGCCTTTGACTAGTTTTTGAAGACTGGAATGGGCGCGTGGGCGTCGAGCACGAAATCTCGCATCAGCCAAACAGCCGACATGTTTATGAGGCAGCTCGTTTGGCTTCAGTGACTGACTGCAATGACTGTAACGACTGACTCATTGATTTTAGTGTTGCACGGTCCTCCTTCCTCGATCAGCAGCTGATTGCTACATCCCGCCGCACCATAGATTCCACTTGTATGAAGAAAGTGCATATGCGTAATTGACACGTATATAAAAAACCCAACACACGCAAGCCGTGGGAAAGGCACATTTAACAGGTAGCGTGAGCACGTGACTCACAGTTACACCAACAGCGAACCATTAACCCACATTCAGTCGCATAAGAGGCCATCATTAAGTAGACCGCTGCATTGACGCCGGCACAAGCCGTATCCCAAGCGCGGGCTACAAACTGTACCCCACCAATCGAGGCCGCCGCGCACTCGCGCCGCCAGTCACATCCACAGCATTAGAGGCTGTGTACTGTCGCCCTAAGACACCGGGGTTCGCGAGCAGGGTCGAGCAACATGGGCTTTGTATACTGACTGGAACGCCGACAGTGTAGAAGAGACTGTCGGAGTCACCTGCGAATGAGATGAACGGCGGCTGCCCACCGAAGCACCTGAAACTGCAGTAGCTCGGTCAGCAGATAAGCAGTTCCAGCAGCACCTCGAGTCAATTTTTCCACCGCTGTCTGGCGCGTCGCCTCCGTTGCCCGCTCCTCAGCCCCGGCCGCCCTCTGCTGCAGCCGTTGCAACAGCAGAAGCTTCGGGAAAACCGCCGTCGAGTAGTGTGCCACCGACCGGGTCATTGATGATGCTTTAGCACTATTAGCACTATTAGTGCTAAAGGGTCATGGAAACCCAAAAGGCGTTGGTTGCCCTTTCTCCTACTCTTACCGCTCGGAGTTGGGGACGGAAAACATTTAGTGTCCCGGGTGTCCAGCCGTCGGGGCAAGCACTCATCGGGTAGTTTAATGAACTGCAGTCATTTGTTATGCGGTCCGAGGCGATTCCACAGCATGGAGCCAATGTCGTATGGAGGTCGATGGAGCCAAAATCCGTTGGTGATATCAACCCGCCTGGGGAGGGCTTTTTCATGAAGAGTGTTCAGCAGGTATTAACATGGCGTATGCTACTATTTATCCGACTTGATTTAGACTTTAACGGGACGGCCGGAAAGTGCACCATGATAAAATAGAGTAAAACGATTTTTATATTATAGATGAATGATTTAAGCAGCAGAAAGCCTACAATCCGCCGTTATTTGCCTATATCTGAACGCAAACCAACAGCCTGACGCGCAAGCAGGAGCGCAGGGAGGGAAGGCCACAGGGGGCACGTTCCCCCTGCCTAAGGTTTCAGGGGACCCGAAGGGCTTCGGGATTTACGATTAAGGGCCTGATTTGAGGGCCCAAAGGCCAGAAAGGTCGGCTGGAAGACTATTCAGAGCGCCGGCCGGCACAATGGGGCACTCCAATGCCAGCGATATTTTTGTTTGGGGGGGGGGAGCTTTCACCATTGGGGAGCCCTTTATCAACCTTGTGCGTGCCCCTGGCCCATTGCCAAAGCTCTGGCTGCGCGCTTGTGCACAAGGTAGCATATTGATATCGGGCCGTGTTTGGTTTGTCGCCGTCATCTTTCAAAGGTGGCCGCGACACTGGTTTATGAGATGGTCGTTGCCTCGCTGATTAATTAACATGTTGGTTTCAAGCGAAACATTTGTCGAGAAATATCCAAAACAGACTGTTCGACATCGTCTCTCACCGGTAAAGGGGCCCTCAGTTTCCCAGCAACCCCCAAGCAGTCCTTCTGAATGATGTTCGAGGCCCCCGACCTGAAAGCCTTTGTCCCTTTGTCCTTAATTTCTAGGTGCAACTCCTGGTCCTCAATACACAGCTGAATATGACAGAAAAGTCACACACGGTCCTCTGTTATCACTATGTCCTCGGTATTTTCAATTGCCAGTGTAAGCTAAAGATGGCAGCTTTACCCCTCGAGCGACCCATCCTGTTCTTAAACGGCCAAATGGCTGCATGGCCTTCCAATTTGGCTGCGATGCCGCCATTCGTTCGGGTGGTTCTCGGTAGTGACGGCTGAGTCAGGTGTCCCGTAAAGCACGGCACACGTGTGTGTGTGTGTGTGTGTGTGTGTGTGTGTGTGTGTGTGTGTGTGTGTGTGTGTGTGTGTGTGTGTGTGTGTGTGTGTGTGTGCGTGCGTGCGTGCGTGCGTGCGTGCGTGCGTGCGTGCGTGCGTGCGTGCGTGCGTGCGTGCGTGCGTGTGTGTGTGTGTGTGGGGGGGGGGGGGGGGGGGGGGGGTGTGGGGGTGTGGGGGTGTGGGGGTGTGTGTGGGTGTGTGTGGGTGTGGGGGGGGGGTGTGGGTGTGTGGGTGTGTGTGGGTGTGTGTGGGTGTGTGGGTGGGTGTGGGTGTGTGGGTGCGTGTGGGTGGGTGGGTGGGTGCGTGCGTGCGTGTGGGTGGGTGGGTGGGTGCGTGTGGGTGGGTGGGTGGTGGGTGCGTGTGCGTGCGTGTGTGCGTGCGTGCGTGCATGCATGCGTGCATGCGTGCATGCGTGCATGCGTGCATGCGTGCATGCATGCATTCCTGATGTTTTCAACAAACTTAATGCAATTCCTACCATCGCTCACAAAGCAATGTGTGATGTTGTCCTGTACATCTTATAGGATCATACACCCAATGGTTTTTAATGGGGATCCTCGGTTTGGAAACTGCGGCCAGTTGGTCTGCACCCTTTCACTTAATATTATTGGCAGGCAGGCCTTCCAAATTGCGGACTGATAAATTCCGCTGAACCCTTAATTATCTTGACATGCAAAAAGCTCAGGTATTTGATACACGCAATAACTTATGTGTTGTACATTAGTCATTGTTTCACCCGATATCTTCAGCTTGATGCACATTTTAGGGTTAAGTTCACATCTATGACTCACATTTGTAACTTGACTCAAATCCAATTATAATGCCAGGCCATATGTGCATGCTAACCAGACTTGTGTTCAACTCAAGCTGAACCACAAATGCACTCAGGAGTCAAAGATTTAAGGGTGAGTTGTAACCTAAGCCAGTTCACTAGGAAAAATGATACTTTGAGTCATGGGCTTATCACATTCTTCACACATGTTGTGAGCTTAATCATGAACCAATGATTTCTACCAATGTTGTGCTAGTGGCTGAAATTGAAATGGCAATATCTGGAAATACAGTATGCATTTGCAAAATCTCGGCCAAAAATCAGCATGACAAAATAATGGCAGTTTGCCTCACATGATCACCATAACCAGGATACCATTTACTAAAATGCAAGATCATATATATATATATATATATATATATATATATATATATATATATATAAACATGCTAGCCAGAACTGTGCACAACTCAAGCTGGATTGGGAATCTGCTCATGAGTCAATCATCTTGGGGTGAGTTATACGCTGCATCTGCTCGTTGGGAAAAATGCTACTTTGAGTCATACTTGAATCACATCTGTCAAATGTTTCATGCACTGAGTCATGAGCTCATTATTTTCCCAAAAGTTGTATCAGTGAGTCATATGGCTAAAGTCAAATTGGCAGCCAAGGAAATATGGTGCAACCAAGGCAAATCCACAACTTACTTCAGTGTCAAATTAGCATGGTGCTGCATAAGTTATACAACTTTTTGTAGCATCAGCACATAATTCTTAGTGCAATTTCTAAACAAAAAAGCCCATGCCGTTCATCCTGAAGTTTGCCAAATCTCAGCCAAAAACCAGTGGAGATATATGTATATGTACAGATATATGTATATATATACACACACACACACACACATATATATATATATATATATATATATATACACACATATATATATATAATGTACATATGCATATATATATATATATATATATATATATATATATATATATATAATGTACATATGCATATAAATGAGCCAGAGCTTGATACCTGATTTTGTAATTTGCATGAGTCATGCATCATGTGCTCCAATGTAAATATGGTCTGAACTTAGTCAAATGAAAAGTGGAACAGCTGAGTCACGAGCTGAGTCAGATATTCCAGTCTGTGAGCCAGTCCGGACTTGATTCAAAGGTCAGGGTATACATTGCTACCTCATGTTAAGAAAGAACATCGTACATCAATCATCATTTTTAAGGCATATTGTATTTACATATTGTAATTAATTGTAAAAGAGGTCATCTAAGCTCTTACCTGGGAACTTAAATAACTACGATAGCGAACATCCCAGCGCAAACACGCAACAGCCGCGACCCCGGCGCCATTTCTAAGCGTGATCGCAACATTACTACGTGATCACAACGTTACTGCGCATCAAGAACCATAAAAATGTACGACGACAAAGGTAACAAGAATTCAGTAAAATGTGTTTCTTGCGTATCCAAGTGGTCTTCCGTAATGTTTGTAGATTGGCCAACATGGTGGGGAAATATGACGTTCTAGCGTGGGAATGAGAAGCAGGAAGTTTTGTTTAGCCGCCATATTCTCATTTTGCTTTTCGTTCCCCACACAAAGACGTCATATTTGCCCACCATGTCGACCAATCTACAAACAGTAAGGAAGACTGCTTGCACACGCAAGAAACACATTTCATTGGATTTTTGTTACCTTGGCCCTGTAAATTTGTATAGTTCTTGATGCGCAGTGATGTGATCACGCGTAGCAATGGCGCCGGGGCCACGGTTGCGGCGTGTTTGAGGCGCTCGGATGTCCGCTATCGTAGTTATTCAAGTTCTAAGGTAAGAGTTTAGATGGCCTGTTTTACGATTAATTACGATATGTTCTGCCTCAAAAACCACGATAGATGTACAATACTCTTTTTTAACATGAGGTAGTAATGTATACCATGGCCGAACCAAACACTTTTACCGCGACAGGACGCAGCTTCCAGGCATGCACTTACCAAATGGGGACACCCGCAGCAGCACTGGCTCTGGGAAAGCCTCTCGGCCGGGACGCTCCGAGCACTGGCCTCGCAGGAAAATGAAGCACGTGCAGAAAAGTAAACACCGGAAACGCTCAAAAAATGGCGCGCTAGCTCATAAGACGGCGAATCAAGTCCCATTATTTGACTGCCATTTGACTGGACTCAGCACATATGATTTGGACAAAAGCCTGCCTGTTGTTTCAAGTGTCCGCCGTTTCAGTGAAGGTCGCAGGGCAAAAATTGATTTACTGCTTAAGGTGTGAGGTGTGTGTTTTATGACATAAGGAACTCCCATCTTAACACATTTGCTCGTTCAATGGCTGTTCCTGTTGTCTGATGCTGTCCAGCTCATTCACCACAGTGGTCTATGATCCATGGTCATGGTTAATCAAGTGGCTTATTTCGTAGTGCTTCGCACGTTCATCTCACTGAGCCCGAAGCGCAGTACATACGAACAGCCACACCACCTTAGAATGTTCGAGATGTTAGCCAAACTTGTCGCAGAACAATGAAGCTAGCAGCTCAAAGCGAGAACAAGGGCTGACACTTTGGCACGGCAGCTGATATCTTGTCATTCCTTTATAAAACGTCGTCACACTGCTTTTATGGAACACCAGCGACTGCATTTACAATAAAAGCGCTCAGGGCAGGGGTGGATCCAAGCTTTCGTCTAGAGCGGAGCTTCGGTTTATTGTTGCGTCCCTGGAAGGTGGTGCTCCTTCGCTCCTCTCACAATGTTTCAGGATTCCGACCACTTTACTTTCATATGCTTATGTTTTAATTGGTCAAATATCTAAATTACATTAAAGGAATGATTCGCCGGATTGAGTCCTCTTCATTTTTAGAGGTAATCATTCCTATCCCTCACGACAAACTTGAAGATTTGGGACCATTTGTTGTGTCCCTGAACATCAGTTTGTCTTGAAAACAAAGGTTATGTGCACCCGAAATGATAATTCTGGTGCCCTTCGACCCAAATGCATCCAAAATGAATTGCTTAATGTGCAATTTGCGTCACTCAAGGGCACTTTCCAGTGTCCTAGTGTTGGCGAATTCCTTCACGTGTTGGCCAGAGCCCACATATGGCTCTAATGGCCACTCAAACAGATCGCTTAAGATATGGATCGATAAAATCCTTTCTAGAACCTCCCTCGACACATGTGCATCGACCAAGTGGGATTGTCGAAGAAAATATGTCAAGTTAGTATGTATCCTTGTTCATACCTTTGGTATAGACAAAAATGAGGCATTTAGGTTTTCATAGACCTTTAATCTACCTCTGGAAAGCTTAACTCAAATGGAGGAATGCGTACATAGTTCTAGTCCAGCGAGATTATCAAGTTACATGATGAAGCGACCGAAGCGACCTTAGGTCACGAGACATGCCGTGATGCCCAACTATTCGACAACACCACGCTAAATGCTGCGAAATGTATTGGCGGAGCTCATGAAATTAAAATATAATTTGTCTGTAAACGCTTCGCTGATGATGGACGGCTTTTGGCTGCTGAGCTCGCTCCATTGTCAACCGGTGGCATCTGCTCTGAGCGCGTCACGGGAGATTCTACACATACGCACACACAGGGGGAACACAGGGATTCCTTACGGTCATGGGTGTCCTTGTACACCAGGGGTGTAGTGTTCTTTCCAGTTGGGGGGCTGCAGCTCCCATCCCACCCAACTTGAGCTCCAGACCCCCAACTTTGTGGAGAAAGTGGGTCAAATTTAGGAATAAACTTGTTTGTTGGCAAATTCTGCGGGTAGTTTCCGTCATTTTTACTGTCCAGCCCCCCCCCCCCCCCCAACTCATTTTGTGAAACTACGCTCCTGTGTAGCGCTATGCGCTGCCCCTGCCCTGGTGACCAGGACAGCATTCACAATTAGCACATTATTTCAGTCCCATTCAATGGTCATGGCCGTTTCTTTCTACCGTGCTAAATGAGTTGCTGATGTCATGGTAGGTGCTCATGCACACAGGCACGATGGCAGGCACCTATGTGCCCAAGAGTCACCTAAAGCACCCACCTTGCGACCTGGGGTAGAAAGTGCATGTTGTCAAAATCATATAAGAAGCTTACGTTGTGCCAGGAGAATACTTCCTTAATCTTTGTGCGCCGAAAACTGCGAAGTTTTTTTTTAGTTATCATGTTTGTGCTCCAAGTCGCATGGTCAACCGAATATGCAGCAGTTGTTTGACGTTCCCAAATTGTCGGACTATGAACGACGAACTGTTGCTGTGAAAGAATTCGAAATGTCGCTGTGAGAGAGCTCGAGGTGAGAGCCCAGATAGGCGCTCGGAAAGCTTGGAACAAATGCTAAAGATAAAAGTTGAAGCCTTGGAAAGCTCCATCGGCTATTTGTTGATGAGAGATACGAGAGATAAGAGAAGAGATGCGATAAGACACGTATTATACATAACTGTGAAATACATAAATCTTAATGACGAAAATGTCGACAAATCTTGCGGTTCAACAAAAACGATAGTAATCCGTTCCAGTCATGAGTCATCTGATGTTGATACGGGGGATATGTTTCATTTATCATGGAAGCTTCTACCAGGGCATTCACCGACGTCTACATGACGAAAGGAACTTAATCCCCAAATCTGCTGAAGAAATACGTTGCCTGCAGTGGATTGAAAACAAGCCAAAGATCGCTGAAAACCATAAGTTGTAAGTGTAGTGAGCAGAATGCGGTTGAAGACTTACGTGAAAATTGTCATCTTACTCAGGAAACTTGAGCTGCAGGGCACAACAGAGGAGCGGTATCGCGCAATCCCCTCCCCCCCCCCCCCCCTCTAAGGCTAGGACGTTTAGTTTTTCACCAAAGAGGGTTTCCGACTGAGAGTAAAAACGGCGTGATGCGCGCTCACCGAGCTCCGGGTCCTTCACTTAACAAAATTCTGGCAGCGCCCCTGTTCAGGGATTGACTACTCGCACCATTCCACTCGTGACACACCCATTATGTGAACGTAGTGAATGTACTGACTCCGGCGCATCATGAACACCTTTAAATAATCTGTTCAATTAAGGAAATATTAAGCACGACAGCCCACTCCAATCATGGAAAAGACTTGTGATACATGGGATGGGGATTGAATAAGAACAGATTAAGATGGAATGTTATCGGGATGATGTTTTTTCAACATCCCCTGAATCACATTGACTTTGGGGCATAATAATGTCTAGGTCCATACAAGAACCATCAACCCATGTTAAAGTCGAGAAACAACGAGGGAGGACATGCATGTGCACAATAATTTCCTAAGCAGGGACGTGGTCTCCAGAGGACTCACGACAGGCACCACAGTGAATTCACCACATGCTACAGCAGCTTCACATCCTCACGATATCTCTGTTGCATTTTCGCGGGGCTTCTCAAGATATGCTTTTGTATACTGGAAACAGTGATGTGAAATGAAGCGCAATTCAGACGTTCTTAATTCATGCTTTAACCCAATGTCTGGGGATCCAACGGGCTCGTCCTGCACCCCCACCCCCATCTCCCCAAACCCCGGAGGACGGGCCCGTGCGCCTACCCCTGTGTGCTCCTCTGAGGAGGTGTAGGGTTTGACGTCCCTCACGCAAGTGAAAAGTTTCAGCTATGCGTTCAGCCGTCCTAAAGCTACGGCAAATCGCAGGAACTCACTCATACAAAGGGAATTTTGGCGAACCGGGTGGAGGGGGACAATAGGTTTACACTGACTGATAGCATCGCATGCTACCGGTCAAATGAACGCTTTCTTACTTACCAAGAATTGAGAATAGGTTCTGAGATCGAAGGCTGTAAAGTATTATCCGTGGTTAAAGCACAATTCAGGGTCTCCATATGATGCTGGCCACTCGATTTTGAAGCTGTAATGAAGTTGCATGCTGTTGGCCGGACGCGGGGTGTTTTAGAGGATTCGAACAAATGCAGCGTTTTTTTCTCCTTTGATTACAGACCATCACAGAGGCGGCGTTGAAAAAGTGTGACGTGAAAGATAGCGGGAACCTTGCACTGTAGCGGGACGGTGAACTACTACTGCCACCGACTTTACTGACAAAAACCAGCGCTTCTTACGCTGGCTTTTAGTGAAATGAATCCATGCGTTGATTTGCGACAGCACTTCTTCTGTACGGCCTGTTCCTTTGCAAACCCTCTTTTCTACGTTCATATTTATTCTGTCCCAGACAGCTACCTACACAACATTGGTCTACGCAGCCACCTGCCGGTGGGAAATGACACTACGAAGCCAAGCTATAGTGCCACGGACACAACAACTCGCCAGTGGTGAGCACGGCGATCGAAAATCAACACGCGAAAATTAACGCACTCCACAAAACCGCTCCAACGTAAAGCTTCCGCCACAACTGGGCGGTGCACGGCGCGGCGGCTGGCGGGCGTGCACTGTGCACGCGGTGCAACACACAGATCACGGGTGCACTGAACGCATCACGGGCCTACGACTGCGCCTCAGCCCTGTCCACCGATCTGCTGGCGGCATGGACGACGGCATCGGTGATACGGCGAGCCACAGGATAGAGAGCTTATTGCAGACTGTCGCACCACCGCAGAGCCGGTGGGCCAGCGGCGGCTACACGGGTACGACATGACCTAGCTACCGGTTCGCGACGGGCTACAGGCAGCCGGCGCCCGGCGCCGCACCAAACGTAACGTCACACGGCAACGATATGTGATTGTGAAGCTGGAGTGAGGCATCTTACGCGTGCTGCGGGATGCGTGCGGGATGTACCACCGGCGTGCTTGGTTCACTTCTATGTGATGGTGCGTGGGTTTCGGATGCTCACCCGCTCCTCACACAATGGATAATCCGGGTCCCAGTTTGATTGCGAAGGATCACAGCTGCACGATAATGCCAAATTGGGGATTCAGAACAACACCGCAGCACCTGCTTACTCCAGCGGGAGAGGTGGGGCGCAATGCAGCACAGTAGGTTTCGCCGCATATATCTTTAGAAAGGGGATGCTGTTTTGCAATAATCGGTGCTTCACGCAAGTCTTCCCGTAGCCTGAACATCTGACTGGCGGAAGGCAAGACAACCATTAAAAGACTATACCCTTCCCCTCCCTCCCAGACATACAGAACTCCACCACGATCCTTCGTGAAGACCGTGCGAAATAATCACCGTAGAGTGCCTATTCCCGGTAAAGTGAAGCCAAAGCATTTCTGCCTGGACGGCGATGATCCGCTTAGCGAGCATTTCCTGAACACTCTCCGCCCACCCATCACAGCTTAAGCAATGGACCTTCCACGCCATTGCAACGCTCCCCGAAATCCGCTCCCACCCGCCGGAGTTATGTGCACAAGCGGGATGCCTAGGTGCACGCTTTGTACGATCACTTCCGCGCCTAACGGCAGCCCGCGGCAGCGCCTCTTTGGTGTGCAAACACGTCGTACAAGCGAATTTAGGCGGTGGGCAACAGTGAGAGTCAACGGTGGTGGACGAAGGTGCCGACAAACACACACACCCTAACGCAAAGCGGAACAGCAAACAGGGGTCGACGCACGCCGTGACGGTGTGTCGACGCGCGCCGTGGCGGTGTGTCGACGCGCGGTGCCCAGCGCGGGCAGCACCAGAGACCGCGGCGCACGAGGCCGGACAGCGGGGCTTCAGTCGGCGGATGACGCGCGCGTGCGCGGCGGCGCCGGTGCCCCGCCGCTCTACCGTATCACAGGCGGGACCAAGCTGCGTTCGGTCGGTCGGTGGAGCGTTCGGCGGGCGCGATCGCCGGCGGACGGTGGGCTCGGTGTCCCAGCTGACGCCCGCGCCAGGTGACGCTGGGCTCAGCCGGGCGCCTTCCCAGCCGCGGCGGAGCCCAGCTGACGACGGACCCACGGTCGGCCAGCAGACGGCGGAATCAGCTAACAACCAGCTGGCGATCTGGCCAGCTGGCCGCGACCGTCCGCGCGCGAGCGGCGGGTGGTGGAGCCGACCGGCAGCCGCGGCGCCGGTTCAGTTGTGCTGCGAAGTCTGCAGGAAGCCGAGCGCTGACCGCGGGTCGTGGTGCAGACGCAGGCTCTCCTGCAGGCGGAACGGGTCGGCCAGCGGATCGGCGGCCGGCGGCGGCGGCTGCTGGCCGTACAGCTCGTGCGACGAGCGGATGGCCAGGTCCGCCTGGAACATGCGCAGCTCCGACTGACCCATCATGGTCTCCGCCTGCGAGCTGAGCGAACGCAGCACGTCCAGCGAGCGCGCGCTCTCCGCCTGCGAGTTCAGCGTCGACTTGACCAGCTCGGCCTGCGTCTGCTGAATCATGGCGCGCATGTTGTCGCTGGACCGGACCGGCGGCGGCGGCGGCGGCGGTGGCGGCGGCGGCGGCGGCGGCGGGGGAGGCGGCGGCGGCTGCTGCTGTTGCTGCTGTTGCTGCTGCTGCTGCTGGAGCGACACCGCCGGCTGCTGCATGCCCAGCCGGTTGAGCATGTCGAGCCGCGAGGAGCTGGCCGATTCCATGTGCTGCTGAGCATGGCCGCCCATCGCCTCCGCCGCGCGCTCCATGTCGCTGCGCCCGCCGCCTGGCGGGAGGCCCGGCAGGTGCTGCAGCATCGAGGTGACGCCACCGGCGCGCGGCTCCAGCTTGGCCTCGGCCGGCGTCGAGATGCGCGACGACGAGTCGGAATGCGCCGACGGCGAGGCGGCCGACACGTTCGTCATCAGCGACGACCCTACCGTGCTCATGCCCGACATGGACATGCCCGGGAACATGTGGCTGTTCATGCCCATGGAGGAGGAGGCTGCCGCCGCCGCCGCCGCGGCAAACAGCGTTTCGCGCTCTCGCCGCTCGGCGGCGGCGCGCGAGAGGACGTACTGCGCGGCGAACTGGTGCTTCGGGTCCATCCGCATGTGATCCATGTGAGTCAGGAACGCTGCAGCCGCAGACAGGGAGGAATGTCACCATTAGTCATATACACAAGAAAGTGCGCATAAACCATGCACCAGAATAATCAATAGTTGGCTGGTCTCGCACGAGCTTGGAAGAATCCATGTCAGTGTCGCGATATGTCAGCGTTATGGCAGCATAGCTCAAGCGCATTTCATCAGTGGACGTCAGTGATATGGCGCGGCCCGACTTCTGCGTATGATATGTGAGAAGACCACGCGATGGTTCCAGGAGTGAAGTGCCCTACGCAGTTTGGTGGGCTCCAGCCTCTTGCCTAAACTTTGAGAAGAATAGGGTCGAAAGATGAGGAGCAACACATTACTTTTTAATTTTTGAACATTTTTGACCCACAGTTGTCGTGCTCAGTCTCCCAAACGCGTTTTGCAAAACTACACCCACGCATTGTGTATCAAATTCGAAGTCAGGCCGAAAATGCTCCTGCAGACAGACAACTTCGGTTAGAAAGCCGGGCTAGGGCGCCCATCACTTGACTCACCCGACTCGTGTGTAAAGACGGCCTGGCAGACGGAACAGGGCCACATGCGCAGGGGCGACGCCAGACCCGCCGCCTCGGGGTGCGTGGCCATGTGCTTTCGAAGCGAGCCCTCGTTGACGTACTGTTTGCCGCACACGGGACACGGGTGGTTCGGAGTCCTCCGCTTGGCTGAAACAACAGCAGATGGACGGCCGTGTGAACAAGGCAACGCCATGAGAGCAGCTCTTTGTGTGCACGGGATCATTACAGCCGTAAGACTGGCACTTCTTGAGGATGTCTCTGGTTGGAGTAGTGATGCTAGCTGCGCTTTGTTTGTGAATAGTCATCTCAAAGATACTGGAGTATTCCTGTCCAACTGCAGCCCCGCAGGCAGTCCTGTCGACTATGGGAACATTAGCAAAATCAAACAACCGCTGATGTCAGAAAGCCACGAATCCTAGCCATGACAGCGCAGCGCAAAGACATCTCAAGTCTTTCATATAATAACGGTGAGTCGGTTCACTTGACAAGCATCTCGTGCCTCTGGCAAGATAAGCACGAGCGGGTCCGCGTGTTGGCAGATATGAATGCACTGCGGGCGTCCGCACGCCCGCATCATTACACGACCATTATAAGCTGACAGGATTGATAGCTGCTGGTAACCAACCCTCGTGAGTTCCAGGAGTCTCTCAAGTCGGCACCTATCGTTCACAGCACACAGCTTAACTCCAGTTATTTCATTCCTCATGTCACTGATAATGCCGAGGCACCTTGCAATGCGAGGGGAGGCCTCTTTAGCGTCGCAGACACCAGGAATCACAGCGGAGCTGGTCCTTCAGGTGGACAGCAGTTAGTTAAAAGTCGAAGACCAGTTGTCAACCCCCGAATAGGTTGCGGAGTCGCCGTGGCCCATTATCTAGATGTCCTTCAGCCCAGGTGGCCAGTGGATTCCACAGCACTGTGTCCTATGGGCTAACTGCAAAGCACCTCGAGCGGGGATGTCGAGCCGTTCACGGGCATCGCGTCCTGCTCAGATGGGCCGACAGAGAACCAATCAGAACACGTGACTGGAGCATCAGCTGGGTCCATCGCTGACGAGGTCGGCTGACGTGACTCTTCATCCGGCCCCCCTCACGCCCCCCCCCCCCCCCCCGCTTAGGCGTGGTACGGTTTCGACCGCCAGCTCCAGCCGGGAAGGTCGAGGCCTGTGGTCCATGCCGCATGCCCTAACCGGCTTTGTTTGGCCACACCTGGTAGGACGTGCCGAGGAACAATGCCTGACAAGCCCTGACTGCGGTGAGTGGTTAAATGGCTCAGTAGCGTGGGTTTTGCTCTGGGCGTCTCCGCCAGGCGGCAGCTGACGTGCCATTCAAGCAAACAACTGGCTTGGCCGTCAACCGAGCGTCCCTTTTAGCAAACTGACCTCTCCGGCTGGAGGAATAGACCATTTCAGCCGGACCAGCTTTCCAGTGCTTCCTGCATGTTCAACTGAACACGCAGTGCACTGAAGATCCCAGCTAGATCCGCAGTTAGCTGAACACGCTGGCTGTTTGCCAGCGGTGGACTGAACATCATCGCGATAAACGCGCAAGCAAATGAACAGCGCAGCTAAAAATGGACTTATCAACATCGTCGCTGGACCTGTAGTTAACTGGAGATCCCATCTGGACCTGCAGTCAGCTGAGCTTCCTAGCTAAATCTGCAGTCAGGCGGGTGATCCAGTAACCCCACAGTCAGCTAAACATTCCAGCTGAGCCCCGGTCATCTGAACACACCAGCTGAACCTTAAATCAGCTATACATCCCAGCTTAGCACGCCGACTGTTGTGTGTCCATACAGCCAGCTCCGCGGGCTTCCGAGCTCGCCACGGTTGCAGCGTGGGCCTCCGAGCGCACCACCGTCGCAGCGTGGGCCTCCGAGCGCGCCACCGTCGCAGCGTGGGCCTCCGAGCGCGCCACGGTCGCAGCGTGGGCCTCCGAGCGCACCACCGTCGCAGCGTGGGCCTCCGAGCGCGTCACGGTCGCAGCGTAGGCCTCCGAACGCGCCACGGTCGCAGCGTAGGCCTCCGAGGGCGCCATGGTCGCAGCGCTCACCTGCCACGCCCGAGGCGTTCGGGTCCTTGTGCACGTGTTTCATGTGCTCCATGAGTGCCGCGCCGCCCAGGTACATCTTGTGGCACATGGGGCAGTTGACGGCGTTCGGACCTCCGATAAGCGCCGCGTGCTGCTGGAACAGACGGAGCCGTGAGTCTCTGTGGTGCTGGAATACACGGAGCCCTGGGCCTCTGTGCTGCTGGAAAGACGGAGCCGTGAGTCTCTGCGCTGCTGGAACAGACGGAGCCGCGAGTCTCTGTGGTGCTGGAATAGACGGAGCCGTGAGTCTCTGTGGTGCTGGAATACACGGAGCCGTGAATCTCTGTGGTGCTGGAACAGACGGAGCCGCGAGTCTCTGTGGTGCTGGAACAGACGGAGGCGCGAGTCTCTGTGGTGCTGGAACAGACGGAGCCGTGAGCCTCTGTTCCGCCCCATCGGCAAGGGTCTGATGGCGGCCGAGATCGCCTCTCGCAGATCAGCAGCGGCGGACGCGGCACTTATCGCGGGCACCGAATGCAAGACACGCCTTAACTTCATGGGACTCCACCTGCACGGATGCAGTGGTACACAAACACTTCACAAACACTCGTCATTTGTGCTGCTACATTGACGGGATCAAGCGGAGTAGGTAGCTGTGAGCTTTGCCTGCAAAAGAAAGCGCGAAGAAGGGGCACCGACAGCATCACAAGCTCTTGAAATTCTTTATCGTTTATCCAGGAATATGGTCATGTTCATTCGGCATGACACGGGTTCAGCCTTCATCACCTACCGCACCAGCACGTGGTTGCATCCTGTGATCGACCGAGAAATAACGCTTTTCCATGGGTATTTTGCGTACGGTTTCCATAACACATGCATTCAACGTCGCCTGCAAATGGGGAGAACAGATGGACAGGCGGAGGACAAACACAAGAGCCTGCGCAGCGTCCTGAGTCCGAAATGCATTGACGTCAGCCGACCTTGACAAGCGCCAGCTACTCGGACTTGCGCTGGGGGGGGGGATTATGGGGGGTATGTGAGTGACCGTTAGTGGCACGTCGAACGCGCCACCAAAGCGTCCGAGGTCCCCCATCCGAGCACAGTGCGCAGGACACCGACCCAGCTGCGACGACAGGTGTGGGCAGTTATCTCCACGCCTCGCCCGATGACAAACAGCCCGACAGTAGCTGCCGCAGCGGCTCGCCCAGCACGTCAGCGGCTGATCAGCTGACCGACAGCGGCCGGGGGCGACCGCGGCGTGTCGGCCGGCGCCGCCGCCCGAGCCACCCTCGGACGGGGGCGGCACCGCGACAGTGTCAGCCTCGGTCGCCACCGGCCCGGCGCGCCGACCGGTTTGTACGGTACGGCTGCTGATCGCAGCCGATAGGCGCCGAAACGTTAATTGTGCGCCGCCGTCGGCTGAAAACTGGTCGTCGCACCTATTGTTGGCCGCGCACCTCCAGCGAGTCAGTGTCTGTGAGGAGCCGATCGCTTGCGCAAGAGCTGCTCAGGCCAGCGGCGTCCGAGGGTCCGCAGCACAGCACAAGATCATCCACTGTTAGCGATTTTGCTATTTTTCGTGCCTCCAAGTGGACTGCATGCCTGCGGCTTCGGAGGCTCTTGAGCGCAGCATAAAAACCCCGTTCTTGGTGGTTTGCTAATCATAGGCCCACCTGATGGACTAACAATGCAATGAATCGGGGTTGATAGTACATCTCAGTCAGTCTCTGTGATAGTACATTTCAGTTCCATGTCTATGCCTGTGACACCGGCGTTCACAACAGCGTCGGGGAGGGTGGAGCTCTGATTCATCCGATCGACCAAGATAGCAGTGATTCATGTCACACCTGGATAATGCCCTGGATGCATGGCAACTCCTCGAGCGACAAAGCCACCCGTTTCGTTTTAATCTGCCAAAAAATGCCTAGGGAAATCTCCGCATTGATACAACTCCAGGTGTGCCCCTGGAAGTTTTAGAGACTTATCCGGAAAATGTCACCAAATGGGAGGCCACGTCCGCAAGGAAAAGTTCAAGGGCCGTTGCCTCATTGTGTTACAGGACCAGCCAACAAGGGAGAACACTCATGGTAAACAAGGGGCGCGTGCGCCCCCTCCCCTTGCAAAATTTATGGTGTGTGTCAGTATGTGCGTGACTTAAGTTATAAATCCCACGTAGACACGTACAAATAAGAAAATTGGAAACACACGATGCTGTTTTATGACACTCATAGAATTGCGCGAGTCTGCGACACGCCATGCTCGGTTCTCAGTAAAATTGTTTCTTGTAATCCCCCTCCCCCCCCTCCCTCCCAATGTGAAACAGAACGCATGTCCCCACCAGCCACAAAACACGCCAAAGCTCGCGTCAATATCGGCACATGGCTAGCACATATGTAACACCGGTTGTTCACCGATCAAGCAAACGCTGCTGAACGCCGCTGGTGACCTTCCTCGGCCATTTTCCGTCCCAATGTCCCGTGCTGGGGGAGCAGTTTCACGACTCGCACGCACTGATTGTAAGCACGTCTAGAGCGTCACTTTTTCCCGCGCGAATTCCCATTACGACCACCTTTCTCCCACGGAAAACAGGACACCGTACGCTCGCCGGCAGCTTTGTAAAATATCCTGTTACGGCGGCAGCAAATAGAAAAACGGCACAGTTGCCAGTAAAAAGGTTTAAAATAAACAATAAAACGTTTGCAAAAACGACAGCGATGTAAACAAGATCATCTTCCGCACAATGGCGCTCTCGGCAGCACGCCGCCTTTTTGCCGCCGCTCCTGGGAAGATGCGCCTTTTTTGTACGGCCCACGCGCTGCCGTCCAGCTGCTGCGACGCATCAATACGGAATCGGCCGGCAATTGGCTCGCGCGTAAAAAAGCGCGCGCCGGCGATGGCCGTAATGACGGTGGCGGCGCTGGTAAAAACGGTGCGAGTTTATCCCAGAGAACGCCATCAGAACACAGCTGTTGGCCCCATGTCTTCGGCTCCAGCATCTGGTGGAGAGGTGACCACGCAATGCTTCTGCACCTGCTAAATTGGAAGCCCAGGCGCCCGCATGCTCCTTGGATTTGGGACATGTAGCGCGTGCCAAGTGTATAGTTTCGCAAAGAGGGCTGGTGGAGGGGGGGGGGGGATTGGCATGAAAAAGATGACACCTACTCTTAAAACGCACCAACAAGTGGGTTTCCCCCAAGGTTCGATTCACTTTTCTCCCAAAGTATATCAAGCCCAAGTTGGGCCGCTGGGGTCCCCCCCCCCCCCAACTGAATAGGAAACTACATCCCTGTCACATGCGATGACTACCCTTTACGGACCGGAGGATCTCTCATGCGTGCGTTCTGTGAGGATAGCATGACCCTCATTGCTGTCCTCTCCAATTTTCCGCACTGGCTCGGGAGCTGTAAGCACCTCTGCTAACGTTTGCGCGTGTAGTATGCCTCTACCTGGTATAGAAAGAAACGTAGTGTGCCCTACAAAAGAGCGGTTGCTGACAGGGCACCAGGATGACTCATGGCGCAGCGCAGCTAGGATTTGCCTCAGGTCACTGGGCTTCAAACCCCAATGAATCTAGTCGTGGCCGTGCCCATGCATGATGCCATCCCGGAGGGTGCGTGCATAGAAGCATCGTGAATATACATGTCCCATCCTTTTAAATTTGTGGCATGTAATGCAAAGTACGTGACTAAGGGCGGGCAGCTAAAACTTTCAAGTAGCCACGTAAAAAGAGAGAGGTCGATACTACACAATGCTATGCGAGCAAGTAACTGCGCGCGTCTGCAGCGTGCTAAACTCGGCTTTCAGTGAAAATATTTGGGTTGTGCCCCCCCAACCCCCCACCCCCTCCCATCGCGAAGTATTGCGTCCGCACCTGCCTCCATCCAATACCTCTGACCATCACTCCAGTTCCACCTGTCCTGCTCAGCCCCTCATTCAGCCGCGCCTGCCTCCATCCAATGCCTCTGACCATCACTGCAGTTCCACCTGTCCTGCTCAGCCCCTCATTCAGCCGCGCCTGCCTCCATCCAATGCCTCTGACCATCACTCCAGTTCCAGCTGTCCTGCTCAGCCCCTCATTCAGCCGCGCCTGCCTCCATCCAATGTCTTTGACCATCACTCCAGTTCCACCTGTCCTGCTCAGCCCCTCATTCAGCCGCGCCTGCCTCCATCCAATGTCTTTGACCATCACTCCAGTTCCACCTGTCCTGCTCAGTCCCTCATTCAGCCGCGCCTGCCTCCATCCAATGCTTCTCACCATCACTCTACTTCCACCTGGCCTGCCCAGCCCCTGTCCTGTCCTGATCAGCCCCTCACCCAGCCGCGCAGTGCGTTTCCAGGAAAGTCAGAAGGAGGTGACCAGTTGGTGTTCGCGACTTCTGCGGGTCGGCATGGAGGTGTGCTCGTGCTCGCTGATGGACGGGCATTTACTCGCGTTCGCGCCATATTAACGCGCGCGCTTATTGAAGAGCACAGGTGCCTTGATCTCCCGGAACTGTCTGCCCACAGGCTTACGGGCTGTCCACATGAGATGAACGCAAGCTTACAGGCTACCCACAGCTCACGATACGTCCACAGGTTCACAAGCTGTCCACGGACTCATAAGCTGTCAACGGACTCATAAGCTGTCCACGGACTCATGAGCTCCCCGCGGACTCACAAGCTGTCCATGGACTCACAAGCTACTCACAGGCTCATAAGCTGTCCACGAACTCCGAGTTGTCCACGGAGTTAGGGTCTCTCTACTGACCCACGAGCCGTCCACGGGCTCACGAACTGTCCACAGGGTAAGGGGCTGTCCGCGGACTCCCCGAGACCTCTGTGGCGTCCGCTGGACGGAGAGGTGTGCTGCGCCCGAGCGTGCGTTCGTGGGAACGTTCGCTCCCTTGTCGCGCACCTGTCAGTCGGCCCTCGAGCCGGATTCCGCGCGGACGGGCGGCGCGGGAGCCCCGCGCCTGCCACCGGGCGCCTAATCCCACGCAAGCGCTAATCGCGCCGCGCGGCAAGTGTTTGCGACCAGCCAGAGAAGTCCGAGACAGACAAAGAAATGTGTTCGAAACGTCGCGGCGCGCGCTTCTCGAATATCTCCGATGACGGACGGACCATAATTCAAGCACAACGTCGCAATTAGAGCCGCTGCTAATCGGAGGACGATTTTTGCCGTGATGGGGGCGGGGAAGGGGGGAGGGGGGCACAACGAACACAGAAGCTGGTCCTGCCGGCCGGTCGGCCAGACGGGACAACCCATCCGCAGCCAGCGCCGGCTGTCACGCTGATTAATGACAGCTAATCACTCCGATTTAACGACCGATATCGGCGGGCGGACTTTTCCGTGCTCATCTTGCAGCGAGCCAATTAGCGTGCACACTGCACATGTCATCGCGGCGGGGACGCAGCATTCCCACGGCGGCGGCGGCGGCGTGCGTGTGCGGCCTGCGGCCTCTGTTCGGGGCACCGGTGGTGCGGCCGATTTGCAGAGGCACGCCCAGAGTGTGGCGTGCCCTCTCGGCACGGGCAGACCAGGGGAGGGCACGCTGTGCTCTACCGTGAGCAACGCTTCGGTTTTACAGTCGACAAAACTGGACATGGAGATGGCCCCGGTATTGTCTTCGACCGGACTGAATTTCTATTATCTCGCGATCTAACGGTGCAGATATTTCCGTTGACTCGCGCTGTTTACAGGCTCATTCAACCCGCCCCTCTTTCGTCGTTCACCGCTTAATCCTCGCCCTCAACCCCCGCAACGTCCCGTCTGGCCGGAGCGAGCCGCGCCCATCAGGCATGAGACGGCTCAAGTGCGGCCGAGGCGCGGCTCCTCCTGAGCTCCCGCGCCGAGCACAGCTGCCTGTTCCGGGTAAGGCTCGGTGGCCGAGGTCTGCCAGGTGGCCGCAGTGTTATTCGACAGCCCGCCTCTCTCCTTGGCACCCTAGTCCTGAAATGGCCACTTCTGGTCGAGAACGGGCTGCTATCAAACGAAATCAAACAGTCCCAATGCCTGTAAAACTGGATCATTTTCGAATTCACGTGCAACACTCGGGCCTCCTTAGATGTGTAAGTGTCTTGCTCGGCTGAAAGCCCAAAAGCTGGTGGGCGTCGGAGTCGACACACCACATTCCAGATCCCAGATCCAACGATTACCTCCCACACACGTACCAACAGACGCGTCCGCCTGCCAGTGCGCGCCGCCGTCGTGTTTCAGCGTTGGAGGTACCAATAGTATAGTGGCTACGCTGCCCCACCCCCTCCTGGGGAATCAGAGGCGCGCGATGCGACTCCCCCGCGATGCTCGCTCCTCCTGCCAGGGTGGGAGGCAGGTGACGTCATACAGCCGCAGCAGCTGAGCGCATTGTAAGCCCCCAATGACGTCTCAACACAGCCGCCGACCGTTTTAACCTCCGGACCTAAACAAAACCAATCACGTCGCTGTCACCCGCAGCAACGCCGGGCGGAGCCACGTTCCGTGGTCACGCCTGCTGAAACCGGCCACCCCGGCCTGTTGGCCGACACGAGCGGGAGGGGGGCGCACCCGCGGGGCCGAGGTGACCGCGGCGGCGGAGCGGCCCGCCGCCGGTGGACCAGAGGTAAAACTGACTGGGAGCGTCCGCGACCGGTCCCAGTCACAGCCACACGCCAGCTGCCGGCCTTCGGTGACCTCTGGGTTACAGGCAGGGCAGTTACAGACAGGGTGGTCCCAATCCTCTACCTGAATACTGAAAATTGTTTGGGATTGCGGTGATGCGGATGTGCTAAGGTCGGTGTTGGCGGTTTCCCTATGCATGTTTTTTTTTTGTACGGGCGGAACGCTGGCTGCTTGGTGGCTTTATGTGAAGTGGCTACCAGCCACTTACTAATGCCAAGCGTGAAATGACATATCGACTTTTGAACTGACCACGTGTGAAGCCCTTTTTAAGTTCACATTTCCACATATCCAAACGTATGGAATATATACGCAGGCAAACATGAAGAGAGAGAGAGAGAGAGAGAGAGAGAGAGAGAGAGAGAGAGAGAGAGAGAGAGAGGGAGAGAGAGAGAGAGAGAGAGAGAGATAGAGAGAGAGAGAGAGAGAGAGAGAGAGAGAGAGAGAATCGAGAGAGAGGTAGAAGAGGAGAAGAGAGAGATAGAGAGGAGAGAATAGAGAGCATATAGAGGAGAGCAAGAGATATGATCGCAAATGAGCCAATAGATCTCTCTGAGAGAGAGAGGAGAGAGCGCAATGAAAAGTCTCAAAGGTCTCACGTTTGTCCATGTCCATAGCCCGTCAGTTCTCAAGCAATGCGATTTGTCAACTGGCGCCCGACCGTGGACTGAGTCGCCCAGCCGACCGTTGCCTGCTAGAATAGGAGGAAAGATTGAGTACACAGTGCATATGTCAGATCCATTTGAATGCCTTAGTGGCCTTGATGGCGTGTGTTTTCAGGGTCACTGACCTTGGTGGTGTGTGTGCGCAGGCTGCTCTCAGTGGCGAAGCCCTTGCCGCAGATCTGGCAGTGGAAGGGCCGGTTCTTCATGCGTTCGATCTGTGTGTCATGGTTTCGCAGGTGCTGCTGCAGGTTCGACAGCTGGATGAAGGCGCGGCCGCACTCGGGGTAGTGACACTTGTATGGCCGCTCACCTGCCGGGGAGGGGGACGTTAGAACGAGCTGGAGAAGGGGACGTTAGAACGAGCTGGAGAAGGGGACATTAGAGTGAGCTGGAGAAGGGGACGTTAGAGCGAGCTGGGGGGGAGACGGGGTAGCGGTCACTCCCAGCAACCGAATCTGTTGAAGGGCGCGTGCGAGGGAGGTGCGCGACACGCCGTGACGCGCCGTAACACGCCGTGATGAGCCGCCACACGAGGTGCGTGACACGCCTTACACGCCGACGTCAGAACGTGCCAGGTGCGACAGTGAACACTCGAGCCATCATGTGCGTCCCGCGCAGTGGCCTTGCAATAACCGCTCCGTCGTCCAGGCCGCGTTACAGGCCCGCCCGCGCCTCTTTTCCCGCAATTGTTCGCGGGTAGATCGTGCACAGCCTGCGTGCAATCGGCCTGCCAGCTTTGCTTGTTCAAAATGCCTTTGGAGGGCGGGGGGGGGGGACGTTTCCTGGCCATCGTGCAAGTGCCCGACTATCTTATATAACACACCCACGTAATACGAAATAGCTGGTGGCATGAGGGGTTCTGTATGCCAAATCCCGTTTTCTGTTCACCGAGCCCGCCAGGGGCGTAACAAACGGGGACCACCAGTCGTGTGACGCGCCGCCGTCACTTCGCACACGCCGGTGATGCTCTCGGATGATTCGCCCACTGACGCTGCACCTGTCATACGCTGTCACGTGGTTCCCTCGCGCGGCAGACTGGACGCGGCCGTCTCAAAGGCAACGTCGGGCGGATGTTACAGTACGTATTCACTTCTGTCGCGGCGTTGCACTGTGTCTCAGCTACCAGGCCTAGCTTTGGGGACGCACCACTACCTGGACGAATGAAGATGGCTTCGGCGTGCTACGGGTGACGCATGGTGAAGGCAATGGGTCCATTTTGAGCCCCGTTCGGCTTATCCCGCTAAGCAATGACTTGCTGTCACATATACGTTATCGAAAACTTGAGTTGCTTACAACTGATACTCAGCTTATCGACCCCAACCTGCTATCTGCGGGAAGTAAAATTTCGCCCATCGCAGTTCGTTTCATTGAGCTGACTTGTTCAAACTAGACTACAGCTACATCCTTCAAAGACCCGTAATGAACATTGTAAAATGATGGCGTCAGAACATGCATGGAAACTTCTCTGTGCTCTCTCGCAGCTCCGGAAGTCCACCATCGCGGACCGTGAAGACGCTGAGTGTCGTAGACATCCGCCTGACCTGGGCCAAGCATGTCTCAAACACCGCGCGACGCTGCCGTCGTCCTCCTAGCGGGCTGGCTGGAATGCGGCGCTGTATGCCGCACAAGACACGAGACCGACGCCGCGCGAGCAGCAGCTGCCGGCGATCGCGCCGGCGCTGGCTGGAATGCGGCGCTGTATGCCGCACAAGACACGAGACCGACGCCGCGCGAGCAGCAGCTGCCGGCGATCGCGCCGGCGCTGGCTGGAATGCGGCGCTGTATGCCGCACAAGACACGAGACCGACGCCGCGCGAGCAGCAGCTGCCGGCGATCGCGCCGGCGCTGGCTGGAATGCGGCGCTGTATGCCGCACAAGACACGGGACCGACGCCGCGCCAGCAGCAGCTGCCGGCGATCGCGCCGGCGCTGGCTGGAATGCGGCGCTGTATGCCGCACAAGACACGAGACCGACGCCGCGCGAGCAGCAGCTGCCGGCGATCGCGCCGGCGCTGGCTGGAATGCGGCGCTGTATGCCGCACAAGACACGGGACCGACGCCGCGCCAGCAGCAGCTGTTGGCGATCGCGCCGGCGCTGGCTGGAATGCGGCGCTGTATGCCGCACAAGACACGGGACCGACGCCGCGCCAGCAGCAGCTGCCGGCGATCGCGCCGGCGCTGGCTGGAATGCGGCGCTGTATGCCGCACAAGACACGGGACCGACGCCGCGCCAGCAGCAGCTGGTGGCGATCGCGCCGGCGGTCTCCCGCAGACGTCGCTGTTTGGTCGGCGCGTGCTCGGTCAACCAGCTGAGACGAATATAAAGATGCACGACCTCCGGTACCCGCGCTATCGCCGCTCTTGGTCACCGCCAGTGACATCAGGGAGAGTTGGGAGGTGAAAGGTAGACGATGTGGTTGGTAGAGCGTGACTGCCATGCCGTGTAGAAACAGCTCCACTCCCCCATCGGCCCCGCCCTAATACGAGAACAGACTATCCGCCGTTCCGTTGCATCCTTCTGTGTCACGGGGACAGCCTTGAACGACCTTTTAGAAGCATCTCGACCTCGGACCGAGTCTACATGACGCTCATTCCTGACCCGTGCAGGTCTGACATGGAGCCGCATGCCGACAGGAATCCGGAATGCACCCACCTTCGGTAATTCCAACGCCTGGTCTCGCAATGCATGATAAGCACGCTTAGCTGGCTTTTGTGTAACAGGAAAGGTTTTGATGTAGTTAGTGTATAGGTGTCCTGTATTATGTTATTATACCGTCGTTACTGTGACAACTCCGCATTTGGAGAGGAATGCGATGAAGGCTTCCGAGCACCAGATTTGATTGGAGTTAATCGTGATCGAATGCGCGAATCACGGCCTGTAACCCAGCAGCAATAACTGCAGGACCCAGGTGTGACACCTCACACTCAACACAACTATTGCGCCCCCTCCCCCCCCCCCGCCATCCACGTCTGCCGCCCAGCGCCCGGTCAGCAGCAGCGCTTGTGTAACACCAGCAGGGCGTCAGCGGGCCGCGGCCGGGGATCGGCCGAGCGGCGGCGGCGCGCCAGGCCTAGGCGGCCGTCATCGCGTGGAGCGGCGCGGCGCGCCAGGCCCAGCCGGCCGTCGTCGCGTGGAGCGGCGGCGGCGCTGCCGGTGGCGGCCGCGCGTCAGAGAGCGGATCATCGCCAGCGCGCGGGCGGTCGTAACGCGGCGCTCGGCGCGCTCGATTTCGTTAACCGGCTTAGTGTCGGCGCTGGACGGATGGTGCGCCGCAGACCGGTTCCGACGCCGCCGCCGCCGCGCCGTCCAGGTGGCCAGCCGGCCGGCCGCTGTGTTCTCAGCGGATCGCCGCTAACGACCGCTCCCGTGCGATGCGCCAACATATGTGGCTATATTCATCATAGACGTTTGAAGTATGTTCAGAAGGAAGATCGGTCAATTTGGAAATGTCGAGACATGTCTTAGAAGGCTGAATATCGGCTATGCCGAATTCCAAGCCAATGGAACAGCTAAGCTATGCAATAGCTAGTTTTATCGCTGTCAGCAGCAGAATAGCTATAAGGCTGATAACCCTGTAGCCTGCGATGTAGTTGTTGTTCGTCGAATGGGCTATTCTATTTTGTAGCTTAACTCTATAAGCAGGGTCGAGTACACATGGCAGCATTGTTGGCACCCTCTTACCAAATTTATGTCATGTGTTAATAAGTTCGTGAGTAAACATCGACTGCCAGACATTACAGGCAGGCACGTAAAAACAAGAAGACTGCATCCATGTCAAAATGCGATTGCGCACACTTGCGGCGCACTAAACTCGGTTTTCAGTGACCATTTTGGCGTACGTCCTGCCACATAGTGAAATCCTACGCACGCCTCTGACTGTAAAACACCTTAGGATGTATTCCCGTATTGCTCTCCGTGGCCCGAAAGTGGACGGAGACGGCTTTCACCGATATCTTTCTCAAAATGATGAGATAATTTCTGAAAGGTTTCACTAATTTTAGGTAGGTTTTCACGGTATTTTCTCCTTTCTAAGGGATTTTCGTGGTTTTTTTGCGGATTTTCGTCTGCCCGCTCGTTCGAAACATCGCTGTTCCCACTTTTAATTTGACTGTTCCCGCTTGTGCCTTTGAAATACCGTAAAGGTGTTCTCCCATATAACACGTACAGCTGTCCATATTTAATTAAGCCAAGTGCATGGGCATAGAGTATTTACCGTATCACCTCATCGAAACATCCATGTGTTGCTGCCAACTTTCCTGAATGTGCGCAGTCAATAAAAAAGCGAATTGCTTCTGACTGGCCGCCATTGGTCATTTCATTACCCGCAAATCAAACTGAGAATTAGCCCATTTATTGATAAACAATAGTTTTGGTGACATACCTGAAACATTGCCGGAAGCCTGTACGCATATTGATTGAAGTTTGTGAAAAAAATATGACACTATGTTAGAAACCCTCCGATGCTACTGATAGCATGTTTAAAATCACAGTAAGATACGCTGTCTTTATTTCATGCAACTGAAGTTGGCGCATTGTGCAAATATGCGGCAGGTAAATGAAAGTAACCACAAACAGCAAACCAATTTGTGCAAAACCCAAAACCAACAGAAATCTTGAGGCCAAGAGATATAAAAAGCATCCTCTGAAAACTTGAATTGGAAGCCCCTGGTTCTACATAACTATTTTATTGTCATGTCATGTCATTGGGGCTTTACGACGCTCTCAGCTGCTGAGGCTATATGGCGTCGCCTGCCTCCCGCCCTGGCAGGAAGGGCGGGCGCCGCGAGGAATGGAACCCCGTACCTCTGGTTTCCCAGACGCGCAGTGGTTAACGCAGACGCGTTGACCACTACACCACCGGCACCCTATAACTATCCATTATTTGATGTCTGCCAATGTTTCTGATGGTTTTGCTATGTTTTCATACATGCGTTATTGACTTGGTTTGCTTTTGTGTTTATGACCCCGCAACTTGACATTTCTCGGTGTTTTCCATGTTTTGTCTTATCTGATGAGACTCTTTTGGCGCTTGCCGTGCATCATATCTTTTCGCTGTGCCCGTCATGCTGTCACAATTCATGGGAACGGGTTCCGGCCATGGTCCACAAACGCTCAGAAGGCGACCATCGTATCTATTGTCCTCTCCCAAAGTACCTCAAATAATATCACAAATGTGCCATTGAGTTGGAAGCTAAAATTAGAAATTGTAGAACTTGGAAGGTACACGCAAACGTCCGAAGGAAACAGGGAGACAGATGGAGCGGGAAACAGCATAAGAAGTAAAGAGGGGAGATGCTGCAAACATGGAGA